GTTGGCTGGGTATTTCAATAAAATAGGTTCACTTACAAAGTTAAGGTGTCCTTTGCCTGTAACAAGATGTGCCTGTACTTGGTTGCTGGTTCATGGATCTACTGTGAATAGTGAAAATCAGCTGATGGAATTTCTGAAATAGGTCAGGAACTTTGAAAACTTTCCTGAGCCAAAATTCGATTGCAGGCTTGGACGGTCAGTTGAAAAAAGTAGTTTCCATTCTCTCTTGCTCAAGACAGTAATATTTGCACTTTAAGGCATGGAAGTTAGACTGTTATAACTGTAAATATGTTTTCTAATACACCTTTGATTTGTATGTATGTAAAAAAAAAAAAAGAGAAGAAGAAGAAATTACATGTGTAAGCTTTCTTACTTGGCAGATTTTGATCTTAGTAGATATATTTTTACCTGCATTTCTGAGATGAAGGGTTAGGTCCTGAAAGCATATTGGTAGGTATCAGGAATGAAAATTTTAGCAGGTCCCCAGATCCAGTTGATAAGAAAGCAAAGGGACCACCTTTTCAAATAAACTGTCTTAACAGAAAGGTCTGAGGCATGACTGATCCACTCCATAAAAGTTTGAGAACCATGTGTCAAATGTATTTTCCAGTGGTGGAATGCCATTGGTGGGATCTGCTATGATCAGATGTAAGCCCTCAGGATTTAACAGGACTCACTGTTTTGCTGCTCAAATCTTTTGTTGTTTGTTGAACAAAGTGGCTTCCAGGAGATCCATCATGACTCTTTAGTATTGTCACATACCCCTGCACCAAGGCCTTGTCTGCATGGTCTAGAGAACCTGTTAAAGCCTCTCTAGTGAACTGTGTTGAAGCATGGCTTTTGCTAAGCACTAACCCTATTTTTCTAACCAGTATAGACAAGGAACCACACATTTGATGAGTCATTATATGATACTAATGAAGATCTCCTTATTGGAGTTTTACACTGATCTTGTGAGAGAATGAAACATGGAAAGGATAAGTACTAAGGGCTAAATCAGCATTTAAGCAATATTATGAAAATGACAATAAAAATAGTTAAAATTTATGGTGCAAAATGGGAATTACATTAAGTATTCACAAATGATCCATATGGTTAGTGTATTCACAGGATAATTGGTTTTAAATAGTAGCATATATTAAAATTACAGTTTTGCGAGAAGACTTGTATGCAGTTCAAATTATGATATGGACTGCAAAATCCTTTATTGTGATAGTTTATACTAGTTTTACTGTAATATGAAAAATGATAGTAACAAGAAAATGTTGTTTCTTCTCAGCAGTTACTGAATTACCAAAGGGTCCCAAGGATCATTATGCCATCTTTGTTAGAATAAGTTGAAACATATATAATTTTAGGCCCATTTACAGAGACTGTATTTAAACGAACAAAAAAAATTACCTGCTGTACTTGCAGTATGTCCTGCATGAAGAATAGCAGTAATATCTTCATTTGTCAACCCCTTTCCTCACCCTCTCCTGCTCTTTCTCATTCTGTTTTTTTTTCCTATCTGATAATCAAGTCTTTCCTCCCAGTTCGGCTACTCAGTCTTTCAAATCCAGCCTAGTTGGTATTGCTCTTCTTTCCTCATCATTCTGTTCAAATGTCCAGTTTGGTTGATGATATCCCTCCTTCCCTAGTGTGCAAGTTCATTCATATGCCCGTACTTCTGTGCACTCTCCATGAAACTGGTCTCCATTTTTCCCCTCACTATTGGAGGCTCTGTCTCCCTTCATCTCTCCTTTTCCACTATGACTTGGGCTAAATGCACATAGACCTCCTCCTTCACCATTACTTTCTTTTTATCTTAAAGAAAAATCATATGGCTTGTCAACATCTTACATTTTACTGGGAAAATGGGTGGAGTAGAGTTGGAGTATCATTATGCAGGATGGCATTAATGGGTCCCATCAACCAAGCTGATCTGTGACTGCCAGACAGAAGAAATGGACCACAAGTGGTTCCCCTTTTTCCCTTTCTAGTTTTCTGATATTCACTTATTAGGGTTTTTCCCATTATTAGAGCATTTCCTACAATTCTGAAGCTGGCTTAGTGGAGTACTCAAAAGATACCAGGGTCTATATGGACAGATTATCAAGGTGAGTAGAGAGCCTCACAAGATTGACCCATAAACTGTTATCACAGCTGTAGCTTCAAGAGTACAGCAGTTAACAAGCATGTTTGTATTATGGACTTCATAGATCTTTCTAAAACATAACCTGGCACAACGAAAGATTCTTCAGCAAATGATTCCTCAACAGCATAAAAGCTTTATCTGCATTGAGGTCACCTATGTAAGCATGGGTACATCTGTACTTGGATGCAAGGGAAGATTGAATCCTGCAGACAGTGATGTTGGCATGAGAGGTGGCACTCTCCCTTCTTTGTCATTACCTATGTTTCTGTATAGTTTTAGAGGATGGTGGTAAAACCTGGCCACACAGAAGAGAGAGGAGGGCAGCCCAGCCCCAATCCAGCTAGACAGTAGAAGGAGGCTTGGGACAGCCCCAGCCTGGCCCCATGTGGGTGAGGGGTTTGACCTGGCCACAGTCCAACCCTGCAGCAGGGCATGCCTAGTCCTGCAGGAGGAAGGGGGCAGGGCCCAACCCCAGCCTGGCTGTGCAGAGGGAAGGGGGAATGGCCCAGCTGCCTGGTGGCAGAGGAGGTATGGCCCACTCCAACCTGGTGATGTGGGGCAGGTTCGTGGCCCAACTCCTACCCACCCCATGGGGTTTAGAATTTTGGCAGTAATGAGTGGTGATAGTACTGCCACTGCTCCCCCACCACCAAATTTCCCAACCCATGGGAGCCCTGTAAGCCTGATTCCCAGACTCTGCAGGTCACCGTTGGCCCATGGGCCAGAGGTTGAGCACCCTGCCTTAGGAGATATCTCATCTGAAAGATGCTAAAAAATTGAGGTCTATACCACTTAGTTCATTAATAAATGTCTGATGTGCTCCTGGGGTTTAGGTTGTAGCCGTGTTGGTCTAAGGATATAGGCAGACAAGGTTCCTTGGGTGAATTTGATATCTTTTATTAGACCAACCCAAATGGTTGGAGAATAGTTATTAAGCAAGCTTTCGGGTTCAAAAACCCTTCGTCAGGCTCCTGTCAACTCTAACAAGAGCTAGGGGTGTTAAATGACAATGTGATTATTCTTCCGACTGCTACCGCACACAGTAAGCTTCTTCACTTCATGCCTCATGCTGTTGTGAAACATTCTGATGCTGTGCTACCTATCTGTCATATCTTGCCCAGAAGATAGCTGTTTCAGTGCTAGTATAAACAGAGCTCATGTAATAATATTCTGGTGGTGTTTTAGCCTTGTTTGACACCTTTTATTTCAAATACTTCATTTTGCTCTCTTTAAGTTCTATATCTGTCTGTAAAATGCATGCAAACGTATATTCATATATAATAACAGGTGGTGTTGACAGCAGTGCCTGTAGTTAAAGTCACCATGAACTTTCCATTATGACTGGAGACTGGGGCTCCAGTAGCTTTTAAATTTGCCAAACTGCAGCCATTGGGATTGATATGTTCTCTGCCAGATGTCTGCCATATGCTGAATTTTTTTTCAGACCGTTTCAGCAGAAATGGTTCTGCCATCTCAGATAACAAAGACAAAGGAAAAGGCATTGTTCAGCCCACATTTAAAAATGTATCTTGCAGTCAGTTTGAGACAAACTAGTGCATTCAGGCTTTGAAAGAGGAATTTACAGTTTGCCAATGGAATCTCCCTGGTGTTAGCTGTATAACTTTTAACGTCCATGTAGAAAGTCCACCCATGTTTGGCCAGTGTATATGCCTCCAAAGATAGCAGATTGTCTGCCATGGGCATGCTGTGCTCCCATACAACCCCTATCTCAACTGCACTGTAATACCTACTCAGAGCAACTGAGTGTTCCATTCAGAGACTCCAGGAACTTAGCAGATAGGTAGTTACTCCTCCCAATTGTCAGCGGCCATTTACTCCTCCCAATTGTAAGCGGCCATTGTGGCACCAGCCTGTGAGACCAGGAATGCTTACGTCTCTGTTCTAAGTCTCCTCTGCTGGCAGAAGCAGCAGCGAATTGACTTGAATTCAAAGGACTTAAAAGCCAGGGGATTGAAAGCAACAGGAGAGTCAACGGGCTGGGAGCAGTAGTAGCCCAAAGGGAACAGAGATCAGAACTGTGGGGGGGAAGAGAGCAGAGAATGGGACGGGCTGGGGTAATAATGATAGAAGAGGTCAGAACTGCTAGAATACTTCCATCCAGAATGTGAGATTGAACTAAGCATTCATGAGGGTCCTTATGTTCTGTTACTGTCAAGCTGATTATTATGTTGGAAAAATGAAACATCCCTCTATAGTGGCTGGTCCCCACTGAAGAACAACCTACTACTGCCACCCATTACTTTTAGTCGGGTTGGTGCTGGGCATCAGTCTGGTTCTATAGGATGGAATTTAGTTGTTTTCCTTTTCCAATCAGCTGAAGAAATAATATCAAAAGCAACATTAAAAGAACTCTAGTTCTGTCATTTCTTATCTTAAGAATGCTTGATTCTGCATTTCAAGATGGATTATAATTACATACACAAATGTGTATGTAAAACATCTAATTAAGCTTCTTCCAGTAATACCTCCAATTTGGGATCCAGGGTGCAGGTAGCGCGCGCGCGCACACACACACACACACACACACACACACACACACACACACACACACACACACAACACACACACACACACACACACACACACACACACACACACGTCATAAATACCTGAAGCAGTTTATGGTTTCATCTAGCTTGCAACATTGAACAGGCTGTTCATGTTATTTTTTTAACATTATCCTTCTCTGTTCAGCATGGGAATTGGAAACAAACTGCCAGCTACAAAATATTCTGTTTCACATTACTTAACATTTTCCCATAAAAATATGAAAAAATGCTACAGAACTTGATCAGAGTTTTAAAGTCAGTTATTCAATAAAGATGATTGTTTTTTGTTACAGGTAAAACTTCAGCCAAGAAACTGACAAAAAGGGTAAGCAAAGTATTCTTTCTGTTTTTCAAAAGAAGTTGCATTCTTTCTGTTACTAAACCTAATGGACTCCTCTTTCACAACTGTTTTTTGTGTGTGTATGTGTGTTTGTATTTAAAGGAGGTAGATGCTGCACTGGCATGTGTTACAAAAGCTAAACCAGGACCAACCTTTTTTAGAGACCTTGGCGATAAAGGTAATACTACACTTGGCACTGAAAAATACATTTTCTTTTTACTAATTGAATGTAAATTGAATATATTAAAAGACATTTCTACAAGTTTTACCTTACTGCAATCTTCCAAGAAGTTAAATCCCTGATAAGGTATTCCCCCAGCTTTTGAAAGAAGAATAAAGGGACACCAAAGGCTATTCAGACACTTCTGGGATGCTACAAAATGTTTATGTCAATAAATAAATAGATAAATTCTATTTGGTGTACTCAGAAGGAATAATGGCCTTTGGAAGAAGCAGATCTCCACACCTTGGAAGAGTAGGTCGTAGGCCAAATTGGCCTTTGTTTAAAAAAATTTTTTTTTTTTTATGTAATTTGAATAGAAGCTAAAACTAAAGCTAAAACTAGAAGTGATGTTGGTCCCCCTTCTGGAGCATCCTGATTCCATGACCAGAAAAGCTTGTTCATCCCTCTTCAGGGACTGCTTCGGAACAACGGGTCTTGGATTCTCTGTGTTCAGAGTGTCCACCTTTAGCCATGTATTTACACGGGCAATAAAAGTTCTGACCACTTGGATGGTACCGTTTATAATAGGAAATAGTGACTAACAAGTAAACTCCTTATGATCTAATTCAGAGCATCCTTATTTCCCCCAGACCTTTTCAAATATAGATCAGAGGATCCCAGCTCCTTTCATTTTTGAATCATAGATTCATAGATGTTAGGGCCGGAAGGGACCTCAATAGATCATCGAGTCCGACCCCCTGCATAGGCAGGAAAGAGCGCTTGGTTCAGATGACCCCAGCTAGATGCCTATCTAACCTCCTCTTGAACACCCCCAGGGTAGGGGCCAGCACCA